TATAATAATTAGATGAAAAAAGAGGAAGTATCCTTATATAGAATCTAATAGCTTGTTGGGATCTAATAAATGTAAAAAATTCCAAATAATACAAATCATCATCCTAAAGTCAAAGTACATGCAAAGTTAACCATATTTATTATGGATTTATTTGGCTTTGTTGTTCATGTTTGTAGTGGGGAATCTACTTAATAAAATAAAATGAGAGATTTGTTGTTTAATCGTTTACAATTGTTGATCTATTTAATAAACTGAGGGATTATCTATTATCTATTATTATTATTATTATTATTATTATTATACATACAGTAAAATTTAATTTTTACTTATTTAACTAACTTCTGTTTTCTCTTTAAAATTATATGTTAATCTAAAAAAATTTCTAAATCTGCCAGTGATCGGCTATTGCGAAATAAATATTGTATTGTAAAAATGTGGATTATACATCTTAGGAGATCAGTTTCACAAAACAATAATCTGAAATCATTTTTTCCAAGATCTAATTTGTTACTTTAAAAAAAAAAAAAGAATTAGGCAATTTTAATCTCAACCCAAAACAGATACTCAGTGATCAAAGATTTCTAGCCATGAGACTTCATCAGGAACTGAGAACCTGAAATATAATGGAAATTTTTACTGATAAAGTATAGGCATAGCTAGCAAGTTTCCCTGATGAACTAAAATCATGCTTGATGAAGTGAGCTAAATCAGAAGCTGTGTGGAGTAGCACACAGCAGATGAAGTGATTGGCACTCCAGCTTTCAGTCAAGCCAAGAAGTGTATTAAAATAGAGCAAGTCTTTAAGAAGATTACCTTCCACTTTAATTGCCTTAGATTCAAAGCATTACCTAAAATGAAAAAAATAATAACAACACCAAGTGTGACTGCGTAAAGTGAAACCTAATTTTATAAAAAAAAGTTAATAAATTACATATTTTATTTCATAGATTGACTCCTCAATTGAATGTCTACATCAAGCATGCGAGGACAAATCATAGATTGACTCCTCATTACTTAAAGGGCACTTTAGTTTTATCAAACAACCAAAGAATCATAGCAGGAATTTGAAGTATCCAACCACACAGCTCCAGCACAAACAGATAAGATAGTGTTAATAAACTCTTACTTCACAAAACAAAACAAAACAAAACATCTGTGAATTAGGTTTGACAAAATTGACAAGTGAAAGTTTACATGCACCACTACATGCTTGCCATATGCAAGGTGGCAGTTAATACTCAGTAAGTACATAGTATCAATTAATGAATGAAATGTATTTATCTTTAATTAGGTTTCCTTAAACTCATTACTTTTTCTTTAACAAGTCAAGAAGGATTGATTTTCTTGCCTATTTTCTTCCCTTTTTCTCCTTTAAAATTATGTTGCATATTCTAACATTTCAATCTCATTGCTTTTGATTGAAATGGCTGCGCCTACAACAGCGCGTTGACTACATTTCAATCTCATATACTGGAGATTATCCATTCAATTGAGAATATTTACGTAGTAAATATTTACCTACAACTACCTAGCTTATGGTCACTCATACACCAAGCTATTCTAATGAAGACACAAGAAATAAATGAGAATATGATTGGCTTAAACTAAGAAAAAACAGAAAAAGTAACCAACGATGAGAATTTTGTAATGGTGCTCATGGAGTAACAAAGTATAAGTTAGGGCGGTTTGGTTTGATTTGGTTTCTTATACCGGTTGATAGCTGATGATATTGATAGCTGGTGGCTGGTCGAGGATAATGGTTAAGTAATTAATAATAATATTTGGAGAATTTTGATGACAGTTGTTAAAATGTAAAATGACCTTAAAGATATTTTTTTTATGTTATTATGATTTATAATGTATATTTTTTATGATGTTTTAAGGTGAATATATTATTTTCTATTTTAATTTATTATATAATTAAAAATATTTATTAAAATGATGTTTAATCAAAATTTTATTATTTTAAAATGACTATAAATAAAATTATTTTTTTTGTTAATTTGAAAAAAGAATAATTTTGTTAATAATTATTTTTATGAGATTAATAAGTTCAAATATAATATAAATACAAATCAGCTATTGAATATGAAAAATCTCTAAAACATAGTTCATGGAACAACTGCATGATTAGAATTTTTATCAACTTTCATGTTCCTGATTGAAAAGCTTACTAAATACGTACAATTTAGCTGTTAGATATGAATAAGCTATAATGCTATTAACTGCATGAATCAGCTGAGCTAAACATCCTCTTAGGGCTCGTTTGATTTAGCTATGCATATCAGCTCGTTCGATTCAGCTATCCACATCAACTGATGGTTGGTGGCTAATAGCGGTTAATGTAAAATAAGCATTAAGAGTATAATTATTTTTACATATTATGTATTTAATATTAAAATATTTTTAAATAACTACAAATAAAATGATTATAAAAAATATTAATTTCAAAAACATAATTTTTTTGGAATTATTTTTATAAGATTAATAAAAAAAGTCTAAATATAATATAAATACAAATCAAATATAAGTTAATACACCAATTAGGTATGATCTAGTTGGTCTCGAATTATTTGAGGAGTAGAAGGTCTCAAATTCGATTTCTCTTGTGACCACGATTGTCAATGGAAGGGCCCTAAATTCATAGTTATAGAATCAGGTCACAATAATTATTTCTTAATGAAACGATGAGTATGTAAAATTAATCATTGGTTTTTATGGGAGTAAAATATCAAAGGGCAAAGGGTACTGTTTAGGCTGGTGGGGAAACTAAAACCAAAAAATAAAATTGGAGACGATTTTGTCAACATTATATGAAGAAAGAAATTATTGGTTTATCAAATAATTTAATTATTAAATTGAAAGTTCTAATTCTATTTTGTAAGATATGTTTAATCGATGAATCATCCATAAACAAAATGGAATATATCGATTATATTGGACTAAATAGCTAGTCTAGTATATTATAAATAAAAGAAAAAAAAATTTTCATTTAATTTATTATTACCAACATATTTTTCATTTTGCTTTATAGGAACCATTTGCATAATTCAATAATATTTAATTGAATCTGGTTATTATTGGCATTTCACAACAATTGTCTTTCATTTACCTAAAATGGATGAGACATATGTATTTTAACTAATCAACCTCATAGGGATCAGTTGACAAAAATTTAAAACTGAAGTAATTGTTTAAATAACTCTGATATAAAATGATTTTTTATGAAAATTATTTCATAATAACCAAAAACAAGTCAGTGAAATTACTTAATCGAAATTCAATAATAATAATCATAATAACAACAATAGTAGTAAACCCTAAAGCATACACATGGCTATCATTTCAAAAGCAATTTATCAATTTTTTTTAAGAACTCGTATTTTTAATGATCAAAATCAAACGTAATAATAGTAGCAGGTTTGGCAAAATACTCCAAATTTTTAAGACTAGCATAGTAATAAGCTACCTTGTAAGAGTATGAGTAGCTTTGTTAGCTTGTCTCCCACAATAAACAAGATCAGTTATTTGAAATAATAAAGCTCTTGCAATCACCAAAATCAGAATCATCATGATTGTGAGAAGCTAATGATCTTTGCACCTCTTGAGGATCAATCTCAATCACTATTTCACCAAAATGTTGCAAAGGGACCCAAGATAATACTTCACTAAGAGCTTCAGCCTCTATCATACGAGAAGAATGCAAGCTACTTCTCATTTCCAATAGACAAACTACAAAGTTACCTTCAAAATCAGCAGTTACCGCTCTAAGATTTGTGCGGTTTTGATCGGGTTTAGACAAATCAATCCCTATTTTGTAACCTGTAGCAAGTTTCAAAGATAAAATTACCTTGAAACCTCATTTGTTAGTTTTTATCATAATTTACTTCGGTTGGTGAGTGCCAACTAAAAAAAAAAAAAAAAAATGGTGCGGTTTGATCGTGTTTAGACAAATCAATCCTATTTTGTAACCTGTAGCAAGTTTCAAAAGATAAAATTACCTTGAAAACCTCATTTGTTCGTTTTGTTATCATAATACTTTCGGTTGTGAGTGCCAACTTAAAAAAAAAAAAAAAAAAAATAATACCTCCACTTTAGCATTAATAACTGTTAAAGAAAAGAATCTTGTTAAAATATATCTAAGAACGTAATAACTGTAAGATTATTTATTATATATATAAAATAAAAACTATCCTTCAATCTACTTTGAAATTCATTTAAGATGATATAATATAAAATAAGAGAAATAAAGAATTTCTTCCTAAGAAAAAATTTATGAATTCACTGACACTATATCCTTTTTTGTCATTCTTTAAATATTTGATCGTCATCTATAATAATCAGAGAGAAATGTATAGAGAAAAATTAACAAAAAGTAATTAAGGTAATAAAAAAAAAAAAAAAAAAATAATACCTCCAATTTAGCATTTATACTGTTAAGAAGACTTTGTCTAAAATATATTCTAGAACCGTATAAAGATATGTATGCAAATTAAAAAAAAAACTATTCCTTTCAATCTACTTTGAATATCATTTAAGATGATTATACAAGAATTAAGAAAATTATTAAATAACTTTCTTTCTAAAAAAAATAGGAATTCACTGAACTATCCTTTTGTCAATTCTTTAAATATTCACGTCATCTATAATTAAGAGAGAGAAATGTGATAAGAAAAATAAAAAAGTAATAAGGAAGAATGAAATGCAGTAATTTAAGATATAAGGGTAAAATTAAAAATAATAATTAATATTTTTTAAATTTGTAAAATGATAAACAAATTGAAAACAAAATTGTAAAGTGACATTTAAAATGTTAAAGAGTATAGATTTTGTATGTGAGAGGCTTCCTAATTTGTATAAAGAAGAAAAGTAAAGCCAGCTTGTCTTCCTAAATAAGTGGCAATCATATAGTTTCTATTTGTATTAATCTTAATAGTTAAAGGATTAAGACAAAAGGAACAGCTAGCAATAAATTTGCAAATATAAAGGAAACAACAGAGGTAAAACCACAACGCAAATATCTGAACTGACCTTGGTTTAGATAATCGTAAAAAGCTCCTTATCAGCTATATATCCTACTGCCCTTCTCCTTAGCAGAGTTCTAAACATTTAGGAAAATAATAGAAAGAAGGAGGGTCAGTGTCTTATTCAGGATCTAATGAATAGAATTTCCTAACAAAACATGAGTAATCAAATAGAAGGAAGAGGATACTCTCTAGAAGAACCAGATGCAAGCTCAGAAACCACAAAGAAGAAGAAGAAGCACACCACCAATAACAAGAGAAGGTTTAGTGATGAACAGATCAGGTTACTGGAGTCAATTTTTGAATCAGAGACCAAGCTCGAGCCTAGGAAGAAGTTACAATTGGCAGGAGAACTCGGACTTCAACCTCGCCAGGTTGCTATATGGTTCCAGAATAGAAGAGCTAGGTGGAAGTCAAAGCAGATTGAGCAAGAATACAAAAACTTAAGAGCTAATTATGACAAATTAGCATCTTGTTTTGAGTCCTTGAAGAATGAAAAACAGTCCTTGCTTATTCAGGTACCTTTCTTATTAGTTCATATTCATAATATCCTCGAACAGGGGAATCCTCTTTTCGACTCTGATTCCCACTCCAGTCATTGCTTTTCTTTCTGTTACTTCGAAATTTTTTTTTTTCCTTTCTTCCAACAGTTGCAGAAGCTAAACCAACTATTAGGTCAACCTTGTGAAGGAGATAGGACTTGCAAGACTGCCATTGATTCAGACAATGGGAACATAAATAGTGATAATGAAGCACAACAAGGACTAGACAATAGAGTATTCATGTGTTCAGAAATGAATAACAGCAGAGAGGAATACACAGATGGCTCATTAGCTTCACCTGATCAATGGTACAGTTTTCATTCAGCTAGTCAGTTTGATCTGTCATCTAGCAGCTCACAGTGGTTCAATTTCTGGGCTTGAAGATTTGGTATTTGCTCAGTTTCTACCTTCCTATGTTGGATTTATATACATAGAAAAAAAAGTTGAGGTCAGAATGAGAAGCCTGAGGATGCCAAGTACAGGGTGGATTACAATCTTGCGTTGATCTAACCAAAAAAAGTTGATAGTCACTACATAATTCATGCCAGATGCTTACAGTGTGAGATTTGAGAATGCCTGAAATAATAAATCAGTTCAAGTAGTTTTGTTATTTTATTTTTATTTTTCATTTTTGATAATGAGAATTCAGATAGTTTATTACTACATAACCAACAAATCTATTACCATATCTCAGGGATTATGCATCCATGCATGATAGAAAGCCAAGAAGTGAAACCTAGAAGAACAGAGCACAAGACTCAATAAAGTTTTATTGATTTGAAATGCTATGAGCCCCGATTTCCTGTCAAGTTTAATTCCATGTTTGATATAAATGAATTCTATAATTTTTTTTCTTTTAGTGAAATGAATTCCATGATCTAATTTCATGTTTGGTATAAATGAAATTGTTCATTTCACCCTTATAAATTTAGTTTTATAGTATTCATTATAATTGAACTAAAACTTATTTCGATCCATTTCTCCTCAATTAGGTTGTTCCTTATCTAGTTGAATTGGAACCTCGAAGTTGCTCAAATTTGTAGGAAAGCTAATTTCAGCACCAATTAAGTACCGTATTTACATAGTTTTAGTTTAATATTTTAATTAGATCATTTTTCTTTTTGTTTCAATTTTTGGTTATTTCGAGATAAATGTGGAGTCTTGTATACTCGCCGTTAAATTCTAGTTTCATTCATAAGAACTATGTACCATAGCAGGAAAAAAAAACAAAAAATAAAAAAATCTATCAACTACAAATAAAGGCTAGTATATTTCAAATTCATTAATACCAAATAAGGTTATAGTGACTGAAAAATCAATGGTCACCGCAAACACATTCGAGCAAGGACACACATACATCTGCACCTGCAGACACATAAAGAGATGAACATAAATTACCAAGGAAATACAGACAAAATATATCTCTTTAATTAGCTCAACTTCAAAGACATGATTTGGCATGTAGACAAAATATTTGATTTTGACATTCAAGTACATTACGTGTGAAACCCATGACAAAAGCTGATAAAATTTTAGGGACATCACAAGCAAGTTTCGTCCGGCCTTAATTCTCTAAGAAACAGAAAACTAATAAAGATGCATTTACCAATTGAAAAATAAGTGTAATTTTGGTACAAATTTCGTATTTTTTAAAAATTTATGGGAACTTATTGTAGAAAATTTAGAAATTATTTTCCAAATTTTCATTGATTATCATTTAGTGAAATTATCCCTGTTAGTTATTATTTTTGTTTCTTCCCTTTTTTTTTGTCGATGAAAAAAAAATGCATGTCTTAATTTAAGATAGTTTGGTTTAGTAGTTTAAGTGTATAAGACCGGACTCTAGTGATCACAGGATTGAATAGTGAAGTCCGCATCTTAGAGAGAACCTTTAAAATAATCACTTTCTGGTCCGTAATGGATTAATCTCTTATTTAATTACTCCATTTGTCCCAAAATATAAATTATTTTTTGGTGATTATTTTGTCCCAAAATATAAATCGTTTTGAATATTTGAAGGAGTAATAAATAATGTTTTTTCAATATTAGCCGTATCTGCACTAGATACAATAAATACTTTTATAAGTAGCTATTGGTTTTAAAATAAATGATAATTTAGTGAAATTACTCTTGGTTTTGTTATAATCTAGCATAGTTAATTACTTTTTTAATACTTGTACAAAAATCTTAAATGATTTATATTTTGTGACAAAGGAAGTATTAAATTAAATAGGCGTTAGGAGAATAACTTGGTTTAAAAAAAAAAATTGTGTCTTTATTTGGACACTAATTCCCATTATTAGATTTAATTAGGTTTATATACCTTGTATATTAAGTTTGTTCCCTCAACTTACATTGAAAAAGGAGGCAAAAAAATTTATGGTAGCGACTCCATTTTGTCAACTTTTACGATGAGTTGTGATATGAAATTAATGGGATATGAAATTTATAGAATGTAGAATTCATGACTTGTGAAATTTTAACCACATCCCTCATTTGGTTGAAAAATATAATCTATGAATTTAAAAGGTGCGTTTTTATGAAATTAAAGTGTTTAAATTACATTATTAATAAAAAAAAACAATAAAATTGGAAAAGTTAATTATTTTTTCTCAACCAAACAAAAAAAATCTAGAAAATATTTGAAAATATTAAAGTGTTTAAATGTTTGAAAATATTTGGAATGTATAAAATTTCATTAATCTAAAAGGCTTAGCCCTTTTTTTTACAGAGAAATAAATTAGAAATAGAGAGGAAAACTGAAAAAACTTCATTAAAAATATAATTATAAAAAAATTGAATTAATCCCATAATCAATAAATCTAAGCTTCATAAATTATCACTCAACATGTATAATAGCTAAAATTAAATGATAGAATAAAAATTTGAAGAACCAAGGCAAAAATTTTGCCTTAATGAGATTGAGAAACAACATAAAATGAAAAAAAAAGAAAAAAAAAAAGTAAGGAACAGCAAAATGCACAGTAATCGGTACACTCGAGTTTCATAGGTGAAAGTCATCTATTAGCATTTGGTGTTTTGTTTACGCACGCGAATGGGACGTTAATACTATATGCAATGGGAACGGAACCTCAAAATCTTCGAAAAGATGGTCACAACTTCTCAGCAGACGAAGCCGGCAAGCAAGGTAGTGTAGAGATTTTTCTTTGACCCCTCTAACGATGTCATTATGAAGGAAGCAAGTCTTTTCATAAAGAGACTTCATTAAAAATTCAAAAAATGAACACGGTTCGGTCGAGTTATCTAAAGTGACAAATTTGGGCTATGGTCCGAAAGGGCGTGAGTTCGACACCGACAGCTATTAGTTTTTCAGTCTTTTATTTGAGTTGTAATGTAGTGTTATTATTCTCAACTCTTTTTACCATTTTTATATTTTTTTAATCTCTACATCGCCATTGTTATATTTTGTTTTGTATTTTTTTAATAGAACTCCCACAGATGACATTTTTTCGGTCTTTTGTTTGAGTTGCAATGTAGTGTTATTATTCTCAACTCTTTTTACCATTTTTATATTTTTTTTAATCTCTACATCGCCATTGTTATATTTTGTTTTTTGTATTTTTTCAATATCTACATCAAACAAAAGAATATGTGAACATTATTGTCAATAGCCTTTACATATGTATATATGAAATCTTCGCAGATCAGATATGAATTTTGCATAATTCGATCTAAATCTAATCTATGATCATCCTTATTGCTAATGGCTTAATGTTTTTCATACATCAGACTCTATTGACATTATTATATATGTAACTACAAAACATTAGAAGAAATTTCTTTCTATAAATGAAACTAAGTTTTGCGTGGTTTTTCATTCTTAGATTCTTTTATTTCTCAAAAAACTTTGCATAACAAACATTCTCTGCCAAGTAGAGTTAAGAATACTATTCGATTTCTCTTTTAATACATTGTTTATAATTTTTTTTAATCTACTACATAGCATCGTCCATTCCCAGTTACCATTGTTGTTTTTGTATTTTTTTCAATTCTTACATCAACAAAAGAAAGTGAAACATTTATTGTGCAATAGCCTTTACATATGTTATAATATGAAAAATCTCAGCGCAATGCAGCGAGCATATGGAAAATTTGGCATAAATTTCAGGTCTAGAATCTAGATCTAGATCAACCCTTATGCTAATGCTTAATGCTTTTTCTGATATCCATACAGTATATCTATATTGGACATAATTATATATGTAACTACAGAAACCTATAAAAAATTTCCTTTTCTAAAAGTGAAACTAAAGTTTTGCGTGTTTTCAATTCTATTAGAGTATCTTTATATTCTCAAAATAACTCCTGCATAAACAGCCATCTGTCTTGCCAGCTATATGTAAAGATATAGCTAGTATCGATCTCGTTTCTATAAATGAAACTAAGTTTTGCGTGGTTTTTCATTCTTAGATTCTTTTATTTCTCAAAAAACTTTGCATAACAAACATTCTCTGCCAAGTAGAGTTAAGAATACTATTCGATTTCAGAGAAAAAAAAAAGAGCAGAGAAAGAGTTAAGTAAGAGAGAGAAAGCTTGAGAAAGATATTTTCTTATTATTTCATATTAATGAGACTTATAGTTGTATTATCGTTGACTATGATTTCAGCACTAGATCTCAAGAAATTCTGCTATGGTTCCAACGATGCGAGAATCAGCTCGATCGAATGTCGTCTGGGCTTCAAATGGACTCCCAAAAGTCAGAAAACCCTAAAAAAAAGCCAAAGGGGCAGCCAGGTAATTTCACCCAGACGGTACCGGCCAGCTTGCCGTCGTTATTGGCTACCTCCCAAATGGTATCATTAAGCCTGCCAGTTTCCATCGGTACCCGTGCTCAGATCATCGGTAGCATCAGAGAGCTCACCGGTACCGGCCAAGGGCAGTCTAGCCTTATAAATAAAGCACAACCCCTCATTTTTCAGACACCTTTGTTACTTGTCGAGTGCTTCTCAAGCTTCAATAACTCTCATTCTTCCTTGTGCAAACATTTCTAAGGTAATATAGTCCGATTTTGCTCTTTTTCTTTAATTGAGCCAAAATCCGACTTGGTTCATAAATATCGATCCTTTTGACTTTCACATACACTTTGGTCATCCTTGGTGCAATTATATAAGACTAAAATCAGGTCTTCGTGCCGTACCTTTGCTTTATAGGAGAAAGACTCGACCTTCTTCGTCGTTTTACACTGTGGAGTTATTCAATCGTACACATCTACCACCCAACCTTCAAACCTCGCAACTCAATGTGATGACAATTTTGGCCGAGTGGTCTAAGGCGCCAGATTTAGGCTCTGGTCCGAAAGGGCGTGGCTTCAAATCCCACAACTGTCAACTTTTTCAGTCTTTTGTTTAAGTTGCAATGTAGTGTTATTATTCTCAACTCTTTTTACTATTTTTATATATTTTTTTAACCTCTACATCGCCATTTTTATATTTTCTTTGTATTTTTTTAACATGTACATCAAATAAAAGAATATGTGAACATTATTGTCAATAGCCTATAGTTTTTTGTGCGTAACAACTACTAAATTATGTTCTAGTTGTCATAGTATACAATATTTTAAATTATTGTTAGGAATTTTTTTTATTTTCAAGCATAACAAATAATATGAATTTTTATTAAATTTTATTTTTTTTTCTATTTTTTTCAAACATAATAAAAAAGGGAATAATATCCAATTCAACCCGATCTGATTTGACATTCGATCCAATCGAATCCGAAGAGAGCAGATATACATATGGATATATGAAATTTTCGCAGATCAGATATGAATTTTGCATAATTCGATCTAAATCTAATCTATGATCATCCTTATTACTAATGGCTTAATGTTTTTCATAC